ATTGTAAAAAAAGGTGATAGAAGAAAAAAACTGACTATTTTAAAGGACCTACACTGGAAATAAAAAATACATCTTCGTACATTTGTGAACAAGCACTGTCACGCGGGTCTCGCGTAAAAATCATAGAAAGTAACGCTCGGTACACATAATTTATTGTAACATAAAGGTAACATATTATAAAAACACAGATTACAGATTAGAACGTATTAGTTTATGATTATATGATTAGTGAACTTACCCAAAAGGACCTGTATTCGTATGAAACATATTACTGCTTATACGCAATTAGGTTACTAGATAAAGAGCATCTGCTCTCCTCGAGAATTTCGTATGGAGTGACGACGGCACTTGATATTATAAAAAATTTAGCAAAGTAAGAATACGAAAAAAAAAAAAGAAATTAGAAAACGATACAAAATTCAAAAGTAAGTGGCCAGGTACGAGTGAAAAGGGTGATAAAAAGGTGGGATACATAAAAGAGGTCACACCATCACAACCCTATCAAAAGCCTTTGAAATATCGAGAGACACGGCAAGCGATTCACCGCATTTCTCGACAACCTCGCCCTATAAACGTGTAGCATACGCAAGTAGGTCTCCGATAGATCGAACATGGCGAAAACCAAACTGTCGATCACAGAAAAGATCATTAACCTCGAGGTATTCAAAGAATTGCCTGTTCAATGTACGTCAATATACGGTCTATAATTGGATGAGGCGGCACTACTAACTTCTTTAGGTACAGGCTGACCATTTGCAAGCTTCTAGGTTATATACCTTCCAGGACATATCCAGTAGTTGAGCAAAGCCTAATAACAAAGTAGTTCTAAAACTAGGCGAGGTGCAATAAGAGAAGTCTGTAGTTAAAATAAAATTTTGACCACTTTCTTTTCTATTACCTAGACTACTATAGTAGACTTCTATAGTACTAGAAAAGTCTACAAAGGAATGTATGAGTAGAACAATAATGTTGTCATGTATAACGTGACCTTTACTTTTTTCCCCTTAGAGCGGGAGCGACATAGAGTTGAATTTCAATCTTAAGTGACATGATCTACGTGCTTTTGACTTTGCATAAGAGCATATCTCCAGATAGTCCATTTTTATAGATTTTGTTGCTTCGAAAAAAATTATAATGAAAAGAAATTCTTGCTATAACGCGCTTCAAAATATAAAAAGTCGTGGTCGGCTCACACTTGTCCCAATTCGAGTGTCCTTGAGCACCATGAACATTGGAGTACGCACGTGAATGTTTATATACACGTGCAAAAACCTTAACAGGTTAGTATTTAAAGCAATTAATGATTTTACGACTAAACAAGCTGAACAAAAGTGATAACGTTAACGTATACCTACAGGTAAATTAAACTCGTACATGTGTGAGTAATGCATACAAGCATTATACAATTTTCCTATTGACAGCTTATAACTACATAGTTTAATATTGTACCAATAGATGGCGCTTCAATAAATTTTTGCAATATAAGCGCCATCGTTTGCAATAATATATCATCAACATCAAGCAGCCTCTGCTCCATCCGTCTTCGGTTATAGGCCTCCTCCATATCTCTCTCTCCATTTACGTCGTTCGTTTTAATGTCATCCACCCAACAGACGGCTTCTGCCACGTGTGTTAGCCAATGGTCGCCACTAAATTATCCTCTTTGTCCGATCTGCGTCCATCCTAGCTATGTGTCCTGCCGATTTCCCTTTCATTGTCTCAATTTTGTGTACAACGTCCCCTACTTTAGTTATCCGTCGATAATAATAATGCTGCAATAATATATTACCACGTAAAAAAAAATTAAGCCGTCCCTTATTTCCCATAATGAGACAAATGTACGCAACTGAGACTGGGAGTGGTTCTCAGTTGTATTACGCAATGACGTAGCCACTGGTTCCCATGAACTTTGACTAAGTTTTCCATAATTATGCTGCTCGAGTAGGTACTCGATCTTTTAGATGTGAATATTACATCGCGTCATACATGTTGGGGAATAGATTGTATAATTATATATGACATTAAAAGGAAGCCAAATTCTATGTGAAAAGACTATCATGGAGTCCAGCCAACAATAGTCGAGAAAACTTCGCCAAGTACTAAGGAAACTTATCTTAAAGCAAAGAGATTGGGGGCTACTATTTAATGAGAACATTTCGAGTGGAATTAATTTCGTTCTCGTTACAAAATTGTAGCCTTTCGTTCAAATTAGTCGTTGGTACTTGTGCTCCAAGTTTTCTATGTCACGAACCAAGTGGAGGTGGAATTGTTTGATTATTTCAGCGTGTTTTAATGATTTTTTCTGATTCTGAATGTACAATAGACACATACTTGGCCATATTATCACATATTGGCAAATTTTTTTAACCGATTTCACAATTTTTCTGTTTTTTTTTTGTATGTTACGCGATAACTCCAGATTTGTGAACCGATTTTGATGATTCTTTTTTTGTTGGAAAGAGGGTACCTTAGTAGTGGTTCCATTTAAATTTGAAGAAAATATTCCACCTCTAAGGGTGACAAACTAGGGGATGAATCCGGTTTCGCGCGCTTTTCGGTAACCGTTTTCAATAAAACTTGGCAAATAGATTGGTTGGTTCGTTCAGTACCATCTTAGTTGTATGTCGATAGAATATTAATGCCAGGATTTTGTACATTTGATATTCTGCTAAAAGTTAAGAGATGTGGCTTATCAATGTCTATCGAGCTACGTTTCGACTGCCATTGCGTTTTTTGGTATTCTGCTCTTCAATGGTGAATCGATGGCGAAGTCTACTTATTACTCGATTTCATCTGAAGACTAAATTACTAATGAAACTAAATAAAAATTAAGATACGCATGGTAAAATCCATGGTAGTTTTAGTAAGGCAACACCGATCGCTAGTGCTTGAATGAATGAATGCCATCACAGTCATTCCAATGACACTCTATTAAGACTCAACTGCTATTGCAACTAGATTTTAGCAGATAACAAATATTATTATACCTATATCTTGTAAATACTAATTGTACTATCCAATATTTGTTGCTTTTTAGTCCCGCCTTTGTAGTGACAAAATTCTTACTGTTTGCTTAGAGGTACTGGCTAACGAAAATCTTTGTTTAGTACTGACATTCCACACTAACATCAACATCAAAAAGTCACGGTTATAATATACCTCCTTGGCGAACCCTTTATTGTAAAGTAACAATTTGTGCAATCTTAGATAAAGATAATATTTTCTATCTTATCTAACAGCTATTTACTTTCAACCTGACTATTCCCATCTCTAAAGCATCATTCATTGTTCATAAAGGCGTTTCAATACCAGAAACTGGCTGATTAAAGTTTACACAACGCGATTTGATTGTGCACCGCTCCTTCTTTACTTGACGCTCTCTTGGTACATAAAGTAGGTTGACCAGATAGAGAGGAAATTCTAAGAATTAATTGAAACTTATACATATGTACATATTACTAAACTAGCTAAGTGTATAGTCACATGAGCTGAACACTGTTATGTCAGAGATTAGAGCAAATGGTGCATGTCGCAACAGTCGTGTAGAATATCTTCGGACGTACGCGATAGGATTTTCGGATAAATAGATTAGTTGATTCGTGCATTAGTTGCAATGTGAATAGACATTTTTCTTCAAAGATTAGTATAGTAAATTCTAAAATACCCTTCTTCACACAAAAGAACTGAATTTAGAACGCAAATAACTTATTCACTGGGTCGCTGGCGACAACTCTCGCTGTAAACTAATGGCACAAAAATGAATAATGGATATGGATTTAAGACGACGACAACTTTATGGCATTTGCAGGTACACCTACCTACGTGGTGTTTACTTGCCAAATAAATACATATTTATGTTTAGGTAGTTGATGGATACCCTACATTGAAGACCAAATCCAGGTCAAATTGCTAGTCGCTGACTGGCTTCGTGCAAACAGAGTCGGTTTTAGTTTCACGGCCGACGATTGCTTTTTTAGTCGCGGTTTGTTCGGAAGAAAGGTCTGGTAGAGACATTTGGCTTCAAAAAACATATTGATACTCTTTTGTTTAAAACTATCAAAACTTCTACAAATTCAATCCACTTCTACAATATCAATCATCTCTACAATTTCAATTGACTTCAATAAATAGTAATTAGAAAGTATTTTTGTTTTCTTAACAACTATCTATTTTTTAAAGGCTTTCACAGTAATATCATGATATAATAAGACTTATTGTGTACCTATTTTTCATTGAAGAATAGACCGGTTTTTACACAACGACTTTATCGCGTCGTACCTCTCGACCCTTTTCAATCCCGTAGAGGTGGATTTGCTGAAGATTTAAGAGTCATCTGTATTTAAGATGTGACGCAAAAAGCTGTAGTCCTAAATTCATTTCCAGGAATTAAAAGGTTTCTTACAAGAGATCCTTGTCCAGTTGTGGGACCTAATGTGTTCATACAGCCAGTTTTCGCGTGCGTAGCTTGTATGTATGATGCCTGTTTTCAAATAAATGCGTAAAAAATAAAAAAAAACCTTAATTCAAAAACGTGATTATTTGGATTTGTTTCATACCACATTGAAAATTAATGCACTAATCTTCGCATAAAACAATAATTAATGGAAGTGCATTCGACACAAATGTAGATTGCCTTCGTTACACGTATAAACAAACACCGTTAAGGTAGAACTAATCAGTGATATTGCAGTCTTTGAGCGTTGCGGTTGTTTTTACCGAGTTTGAGCAAATATTTTACGTACTTGTTGTCCACATATCGTGCTTGGATTAAGAAATTTAAAGAGATTTAAGATAAAACAATAAGAAAGGAACGACTGAACAAAAAATTAATCATCCTAAAAATCAAGTAACAAGTGTACGAAATATCTTCATTTTAACTGAATAAAACTCATACCTTGCATGTGTCAATTGAAAAGAATTATACGATTGTTGAAGTTTTTCATTATTGTAAATGCAAACGATTATTGAAGTTTCATTATTGTAAGCATTTAAAACTGTCCCAAATTTATTAAGCAAGATTTATGACCTTAATGTTTCTATCTAAAAATCTACTAGTGTTATTATCTACATGGATTTCTATGTCGTGTATAGCAGCAGTTGGTGAGAAGGCCTTCCAAGCATGCAAGAATTACGGACAGACCATGCTTGAATGTCACAACATTTTATACCCTAAAGAAAGAATTAGAGTTCCCATAGATCTGCTACTATTTCCTCATATGGTTTTAATTGGATTTCGAAATAAAAAGACAGATGGAACAGATTGGAAGTGTGGTGGAACTTTAATAAGTGAGAAATGGGTGTTGACAGCAGCTCATTGTGAGGAGGACCCAAAAGATGGTAAACCTGATATACTAAGAGTTGGTACGGCAACGTTTGAGTTCGATGAACTCGAAGATTTAGCCCAAGAAAGAAATATAGCTGACATTATTATACATCCTAAATATAAACCTCCATCTAAGTACCATGATATTGCTTTATTCCAAGCAGATATACCATTTATATTAAGTAGGGATATAAGAATAGCATGTTTGCAAATTGGAGAGAATTTTCAAAGGAAAAGTCTGACAGTAATAGGTTTTGGAAAGACGATGTCAGCGGCTACTGAAGGAAGCCAGACTTTGATGAAAGTTGATGTAGACATTGTTGATAATGCTGTATGTAACAGATCTATGAAATTTTTAATCAAGAGAAAGATTTTACCAAACGGTTTGACTGATGACCAGTTTTGTGCTGGTGATTACGAACATGGGGGAAGAGATACATGTCAAGGCGATTCGGGAGGTCCTATGCAAATTATGGAAGAAAGAGTAGACTGCAGGCATAATTTTCCATTACATACAGTTGTGGGAGTGACTTCGTTTGGAAGAGATTGTGGAAGAAAGATGGCACCAGGAGTTTATACTAAAGTGTCGAGATATATTGACTGGATTGAATCTGTAGTTTGGCCATATCCCTTAGCATAGTTTCCATAGTCGTGAAGTGTATTAACTGACTTTTTGAAATTTTAATTGAAAACTTTAGCTGTCTAAATTATTTTAAGTAAAATGAAAAAAGGTAGAAGATCAATAAAACATTTCCGATTCTCGAGAGCAAATGACGAGAACCTTTGTTGTTGTACGAAAAGTGAAAGACGTGCAAAAAAATCGAGTGTTAAGTCCTTGAAAGTGAATAAGTCATTGACGAAATTCCAAGTCTCCAATGACCCTTAACCCGAAGCAAGATGACCCAAAATTTGAACAGTCATTCACATTTGGAACGCTAGTCATTTTTTAGCGACTTCGGCCATCATTATTGAAACCGCAAGGAACATGATAAGCGTCCAATTAATTGAACAACGAACAGTATACATTAGAGTGGTACATGTGTCATAATTTGATAAAGTTCTTGTCATGAGCGTGACCTTTATTTTGTACAGGTATGTGACAGTATGCTTTTCGCGCAGCATTTGTTTAAATATGTGACTTCTCTTAGATCTTCATCTATCATTTACATATATTTCTTATTATGTCATATTACGTTCACACATACATGTCATAATAATGACATTGCTGATGTTGGCACTAATGCGGAACTAATCGCAAATCAAATGTAGTATTGCTACAACTCTACAATACATTAATTTGATATATCTAGGTTGTAAATGGATACTCTCATTGACCTTTTGTATAAAGATCCATTGCTGAGCATTGAATCATATCTACGGCATTTTTGGTATACAAAGAATATAAATATCCGAACACTGACCCACTTGTAAAATATTCCACAGTAATAAAAGGTTAACTCACGTTAATCCTGAAGTCTCAAAACGTTCATACATTATGTATGAAATATGTGAGCCTTGCAAAAATGTATCGTACCTGAAACAGAGAGGTTTTCATAAAAACGTGGCGTCAATGTGGCAGCCGCGAGGGAGGAAAATACATGCAAATGTCACGAGGCATTTGGAATGGTTAGGTTAAGGTGGTTATTAGCAATAGTCGATAGCGATTTTGTTTTATTTTTATGTAGGCTACTTGAAATAAACCCTGTAAATTAGCGAAGGAATTATTTCTTGCATTTTCCGTGCTTCCGTTGAGATGACTGAACAGAAAAAAAATGTGTACTAGCAATTCTTTCAACTTAAAATCACTTTTACCTTCAATGGCGTCAGTACAGTAAAGAACAAAAATTGAAAAGTATGATAGCCGGTACTGATAAAAGGAAAACCTATGCGATAAGTCCCAGCAAACCTTCAAAAATAAACAATGATCGTTATTTTATACATTATCTAAAAATGATATAAATAACGCACACACTCAACATAGCCCCCCACTAGGAAAACCCTGTGTCGCGGGTGCCATAGACACACACATAGACAACCACAAATTACAACCAAACTCACGAGAGAAATAAATGTAGGTCATACAGATATTTCTCCCGACTCGGGAATCGAACTTGGGACTTCTGCGTGGCAGTCCGTGGTAACCGTTCGGCCATAGAGGCAGATAATAAAAAAAGAAAGAATTGTGATTTATGGAGACGGCAAAGAAGTAAAATTAAATTATTCTAAATTATACAATCTGTCTAAATAATTCGCTGTTACCCAGTTTCAGGCCTAAAATGTTTAATGTTTTCTTCGTTCTAAAATAAGAAAAAATCAAAATCCGCTATCGCTCTCGCTCAGCTTGTCACTACATCTTCGCCAATCTTGTAAGGGATGAACCAGGTATTCCCGCGTCTCGCGCTTATCCTTAAAGATCTTATGTTTATGTCTTGTAAGGTTTTGTTTAAGCGATATTGTGTTTAACCTTTTTTTTTCTTTTTTCTCCAAGCAGTTGTTTTCGTAATGTAAAAATCTTTCAAACATGACAATCCTCGTGCAGAGATAGGTATGGTAGCAAGTTGGTTTACGTGTGAACCAATCGGATTCGTACGTATCGCTAAGCGGATAGAAATTGGCAAAATAGCGTAATCCTATTGGCTGTTTGAACACATCGCTTTTCTTTACGAAACAACTGAGGTCTTAATAGACCTTATCGTCAAAGGCAGTAATCGCACAAATATAACGGGTAACTTTCAAGAAGTCTAAAGACGCAGTTTTTTTCAACAAAATAAGCCATTAACGTTGGAACTAAGTCTAAAAGTCATCTAATAACACAAAAACACAATTTACAACTTACACGAAAATGCGTAATATTCATTTAAACTTTTGCTCGGAACGCTGTGGAGACAGATTATCTTCGGGCCGAAGGTACGTACAGATTTTGATACTTGAGAACGAAAAAATGCTAACCAGTCAATATAAAATTTTAGTTCTACTCATGGCAAATGGTCTGACGACGATTGAGGTACTATAATAACGGACATATACATAACCCCGCATTGGGCAAACGCTATGTTAATAGAGCGAATGTGGATAGAGGTCTAGGAAGAGACAGACCTCGGCGTACATATCTCGACCACATTGGGGATGTCTTTAAAAAGACCGGGTTGAAAGTATTAACGGCAAGAGGAGACTGATGATAGTGAAGGAGGTTTTTCAGGAGCGCAGCTTGTGGAGGTCCATGTTCACTGTGTACACGAGACAGGTGTTATGACATGATGATTCTATTTCAATGAGGTCACTACTGATAAGATATGAAGTATCTTGTGTATTACCGAGTTCAACTGGCTCTTCTTGCTTTTCGATTCAGAGCAAAACAATTCAGTTTTTCTTTACATATAGGTAGAGCAGTGGAGCCTAGCCAGACTGATCAAGTAGTAAGTCACAAATTTTACTGCCAACGTCACTTTCTCAGTTCCATCATGTTTGTGATTTATCGACATGAAAAAACTTTATTTTCCTGCCTTTGTGGTTAAGACAACAAAATTTGAATGCCCAAGTTCCATGTTGACTGATGTCAAAAAATGTCGACGACCATCCATCGCAGATACAGGTTTCATTCGTATTTTCATATAGCTTCTAGTTCTAATGGAATATTTACTTTTTAAGTTTATGTTAATAATGAACATTAATATCTTACTAAACTTTGAACTTGAGGGTCAAATTCAAGTTAAGGAAGACTTATGTGTATAAGATCATTGCTTATCGGTGTCACAATTATTGTAACTGTCTTTCATAATTACCTTAACATTGTAGAAATCATGGCAAGTGTAAAAATAAAATGTCAAATGTAAGTCGTATTACGTTCAAAAACAAATATTTACATCATACAAATATTTTTGAGTCTGAAATGAACATTTTTCTTTGATACTGAAAACGTACCAATTTTCGAGTTTCTCTTTATTTAAAGACAAAAGGGACATTATATTAAAATCAATAGTAAATTTGAACCAAAATTCTTCCAATTGACGAGAAAACCTATAAATGAGAAGATTTACGAGATTATGTCAATACCACTGTGTAGCTATGCAAAGTAGGCATCTATGTAAATACTGCTGTGACAGCCGCAAAAGCAAAAATTCACGAGTATAGCTACTCTTTTCTACACGTTTAATGCTTGCTCCATCAAACAGAAATCAATAATGTCAAACCAGAAACAGGAGAGTTACCACAAAATAACGACGATCGAAGATCGTGATTTAACGTAAGTATTTGTGGATACCTTACTGGTCAAATGACTGTTATCATATCGATTTTTGACATTACAATGGGAAATAATACGAACTAGCAGTGGTAACGCGAATATAATATAGGAGTAGAAATATTAAGAAAACAGAAAGTAGAGTTTGATAGAGAAGACAGATAAGAGTAAGAGATGTTACTTTATCACCTAATACTACTTTTGACAGCTGCACGAATATAGCAAGTGATGATGAAACTTAACGTCCTAATACGAGTGACGATGGTGGTGGTAACGAAAGTTTAGAGCGGATTATCACTCTGAGATCGCACCAGATAGGTAATTATTTCATGTGTATTGAAGAGATTACAGATTCGCTGACTGTGAAAGAGGTTACGTTGTACCCGAAGCTGGTCTTCTGTTCGAAGATGATTGGGATATGTTTAAGAGAGGATGTTGGAGCGTAAACATACTTCTTGTTCAAAGCATGATGACTCTAGTGTCACGTGTAGAAAATCATCATCTCCTATCTGTCTTCTCTATCAAACCGCACTTTCTGTTTTCTTAATATTTCTACGTCTGTATTATATTCGCGTTAACACTGCTAGTTCATATTGTTCCTCACAATTACTGTCATCGTAAAACTGACATTTGTGTAGTACGTATGAGCTTCGTTGCGGATGCAGTCACGTAGTATTGTATTTCGTGGTCGACCTCCTGAATCTTTTTGGAAATTAGTCTTAACAAATCTTCTGCATTTTTTTACTTTTATAAAACAGTGTACGCAGAATAAGGCTTTACGAAGACTTATAAAGTCGCCACGGTATCTTCTAGCGTTGTGATCGCATTGCTCGATATCGTCATTGTATAATTTTAAGTGGAAATACAAATGTTCAAAAAAACTTATAGTAACTGCAAACGCGTTTCTGATGACACTTGTCTCAGATGTCGCAGCTTTTAACGAGCCGAAACATTACTTATACTTTTTCGTTTACATGATATCCAAATCTGTACGCAGAGCCCATCTCGCAAGCTCTAACAATCCAGGCCCCCTTTTTTATCAAGGGACAATTTTGGGCCCGTTTTTTTTTATAATTGGCAATCTGCTTCGGGCTATCTCAAGAGGTAACCGAGGTCTCGACTCAAACGATTAGGAATTTTCCCTATTTAATTATTTTTTCAGAAAAAACTAGATTGATGATGTCAAACTTCAGAGGACAACGGTTTTTAACTTTTTGTTTTTGACCTTAATAGGAATTGTTTAAGAAAGATTTTCGAGTGATCGTTTACGTAATGTCTTTTCCTTACATCATGTTTTATCGCTTTTTTAATACTTGAAAATTAGGAGCGGCCGCTGTCAGACCTGGGGCTTACTTCTGTTTATTTTTTGTTAAACCACTGGTCATTATAATTCAATCGGGAGAGTGTCAGTGGAATGACAGTGATGACATTCATTCATTGAATCACTAACGATCGATGTTGCTTTACTAAAACTACCGTGGAAATTACGTATCTTAAGTTCAGTCTTATCCAATCAGCAACTTAGTCTTCAAAATAAATATACGTCGGAACCGTCAGAATTTAGAACTGAATCTTCAGACATAGTTTGGGCAGATTTAGGGATAGTGCAATGAGATTACGTATAATAGTAATATTGTTTATTTTAATCTCTTTGAAATCGAATAACAACTTGTACTTCCTATTAATTTTAACGACCAAATTAGGTACTAGGACAGTTTCTAGGTAGCGTGTGTGCAACCCCAGAGTCCAACCACCACTGTGTCGTCTCTCGTTTACTACCACCGTTCCCCACCCAGACTCTGTCAAGGTCCACCGGCAGTGGGAGCGCGCGATACACTCTGTAACTTGCAGGTAACGCCTCTGTCTCGCTGTTTTCCGTCCGTGCTCATGACCGTTTGCGATACTGATTTATGATACGAAGTGACGGGACGAACAAATTGTG